GCGGTTGCGGCGCCGGGGTGTGAGGACCTGCCGGTGTGGCTGCGGGGCGGTGCTCCGTACAATTTCGATTTTTTTGGTCCGAAAAGTCGAGCTGTAATGTGCTGTAAAACGACAGTAAGGTACAGCTGTGCAAGGGAAGCCCCTCTGTACTTTCCTGTCTGTGCTATACGCAGCCAGAAGGCTTCTGCCAGAAGGTTTCTGCGGTCACGCGAGCACGGGTGATGTACGTGCCCCATCCTCTCGAGCACATTCTCTCTTTTGCGGCGTTACGGCTTTCACATAGTGACATCAAGCTAACTGCAGTGATATTTTGAACTTGCATTACTTATCCTGAACAGGCAGTGCTTGCTTTTGCTTTTAGATGATGTGCTCGAGACTGTAGGGGAGGCGGTAGGTGATTTACGAGTTTCATTCTTTTACACTTGAAATCCAGACTCTGTAAGAAACATTATTCCAGTCTGGTTTGAAAGTTGAACAAAAAAACTGAAAACCTGTGGTCAGGCTGACTTTAGGCTCCAACCTGGAAGAGTTTAAGCGGTAGGTTTGTGTTTTGGGTAACTGACAACAAAATATCTCTTCCCACAGGACTACAAGGGCCAAAAATTAGCAGAACAGATTTTTCAAGGAATCATTCTTGTCTCTGCAGTAAGTATACTACAGCTACAGGTGATAACATAAAGGACTTTGGTTTCTGATCTTACAAACAAGGGCTTTTCTGATTGTTTGGCTTAACTGGGTCACTAAAAGCTTTAGACAAAATCAGAGGGGCTGTCATGGTTTAAGACTTTTATTCTTTCAATCTTTTACTTACTTTATTGTCCTACAATTTTGAAAACAAGGCTAGAAAGATGTATGAACTATGCTTTTGAAAAACCCATATTCTTCTACTTAACTCCTTCGCCCCTGCCCCCCTACTTAATCATGGCATGGGGAATGTTTTTGTTTGGTTTTGATTTTTTTTTTTTATTTTTTTTGCAGATAATTGGTTTCATCTATGGATACCTCACTGAACAGTTTGGATGGACAGTCTACATAGTTATGGCTGGATTTGCATTATCATGTTTGGTAAGAAATTTTGTTTTTTTCCTCCAAACCAGAAAATACATTCACTATTTGATCTGAAATAATCATTAAATGAAGGTGCTGTCAGCACAGGCAAATGACTGCTATGTTAAGTCAGGCTGTTAATACTTTTTTTGGTCTGTAGGAAGTGCTTTACAAGCCAGTTAGCGCCTTTTCTCAAATGCTAGTAAGATTTTAGAGAACACTACGATTTAATAATGCTATGTGACATTGAATTAGCTTTTCATTTCACTTAAATACTTTTAAGTCAATCTGACAGCATCAATAACAGAAAGGACCTTTCTGGAATTTTGCAGCTGGCCCATGCTGACTGAGGAGAGGGGCTAGAACACAAAATACAGAATGACAAGAGTAATTCCTTATTCATGCACATGAAGTGTCCCGTTCCAACTGGGGCAACTGAATGCAGTTTTACACATGGTTCTTACACCTTTCAAGCATTCAGATACAACACAATTTGACCAATCACTACTTAACACGCACACACACTACTGTTTTGAAAAGCCACTATAGTTCCAATGGCATCATCATCCATCTGCTTCTTTCTTGATCTAAACATCCCTGGAGTTGGCTTCACTAATTGCTTATCTATGAGGCCAGATAACAGGAGGGTTTCAGAGAGGTGCTAGAGGGGCTGGGATGCTGGCATTAGCTCGGTAGTCTGGGGGTATCCTTTTTTTTTCAGGGTAGGTGCTGTTGTCCTCCTCCTTGCAATGACCTGGGGTCCTTTAGTCATGCAGTATGTATACAATGTAGACTATATGTATGTAGTATATATCTTTATAGTATGAAATTGTATGAACGTTCTTAAGACTAATTGGTACAATAGTTAGGGAATGAGATTTTCCTAACAAACGATACTAAACACTTAGCTAGCGTCTTGATTTACATGTTCTGACCTCGTTCCTCTTCTCGAAGCTCACACTCCCTCCATGGCCTATGTACCGCCGCAATCCTCTGAAGTGGCTACCTGTCCAAGAGCTGGGAATGGAAGAAAAGAAGCCAGCAGACAGAAAGCCAAAGAGACATGCTAAAAGCTAAACCATTTGGTTCTTCATGTTGTTACTTTGTTAAAATTCCACTGGGAGATACTTCTTGGCTTAGTGTTTGTTGTTTGGTTTTGTGTTGTTTTTTTTTTTTGTTTTCTTACTACTTTGTATACTACCATGAGCACACCAAGATCTGCTGAAAGCATGAAGGCTCTCTAAATTTTGGCTCGAGTTTCAGTGAAGTCACTGGGAAGGCAGGTGTAGGGGGGATTAACTTTAGAAGGCTACTCACACATCTCAAGTATTTTAGTGAAAAGGAACACAGCAAATGAAATCAAGTCTAGTTAAGCTGTTTCCATAGCCTAAAAGATAATACCTAAAATATTTCTGACGCACTGTAAAACAAGCTATCAGTAGTGTCAGGTTGTAACAAGTAGTGTAACACAGTACATACCCCACAGGTCTGAAAAATGCTAAAAACTGTAAAGTGTTCTAGGATAAGAGATTACAGAGTAGCATTTTTTGTTTAAACTAAATTTGCCTGGTTAGAGAAAGTAACATCTTGACACTGCATAAATCAGTAGCCCTCAAAACCTCCTAACCTGAGCATCTAGTATGCGGGAGGGAGCAGGATCCACAGGTATTGCACTTTTTTACTACTGACTGTCGTGTTAGTCTCCCTTATAGGTGCTGGAGGTTACAATATTTAAGCTAGAGGCAGGGGAAGAGACAGGGTGTGCATTTAAAATTTTATTTTTACAAATTCAATTCCCTTTTGACTTCTTTATTCTTTAAAAAAGAACATGACAATGCCTGGTCACGTGTAGCAACACAATCTAGATGCAAAGAAAGGGAAAAGCTTAGACACCTGTTTCTCTAAGTGACCCTGGTCTTGGGCACTTCCATTCCTAACAGGAATCTGTAAGACAAAGGGATTTCTCCAGCTGGGACCATGGTAACCACAGCTGTGTTCCTTTCAAACATTTTCAGACTTATTTTATCCAGTTACCAAATACTTTCCACCACCTTGGTGACTGCCTTAGCAGTAAGACACAAAAGCAAAGGCTCTGCTTAAAAGCAGTACAACCACCCCCTTTTAGCACTTTCACTTGGCAATTTACAGAACCTGGAGGGCTTTTGGTGCTACAAAAATTAGTAATTGTTTCTGCCTGCTAAATTACCACAACTATTTGACGTAATAGCTTATAACCTATCACAGCATAGCCTTGGCATAGATTTTGTTATCATAGTTAGTGTATGAATGACCATACCAAAAATCTTTTAGTATGACAAATTCAAATCAAAACATAATTTTTCTTTGACATTTCCTTTGTACACAAAACTTGGTATCCATCCCTCTTTGCATCTATAAAAAGCAACTTTAAAGTTTCATTAAGAAAATAAAACTAAAACTTAAAAACTAAACTAAATAGTTTCTCTTCTGAGAAAGTGATAGCCCAGTTCACGTTTTAACATGAAAAATATTACTACAAACTATAATGGTTTTTGCAAGTTCACCTCCTTATTCCAGCAAAGGAGGTCAATGGATAAACATGCTTTGTAAGCTGGTCCAATCTATCCAGTGATCTATAAGACAGTCATTTTCTCTAAGGAAAAAGTTCTGGTCAGAACTTCACATTTTCTTCAAGAAATTTCAGATGGCGTGCCTTCGCACTGTAACTTGCATACTTGTCTCCCATATGCTCCCGCAACTGCAGCTATTTAGAACACACAAAAAAAACACCACAAAATGTATTGACATTGAAAAAAAGCAGGAACTACCAAAATATTAACAAAAAAAATACCAAAGCACTCAACTGAAAGCAGCATGTGAAGTTTGACAACATAGATGGGAGGGAAGAAAAATGGAAGAGTCTTTGTTGTCTGAAGGCAAAAGAGTTCCAAATCCCACCCGACAATTTAAAATACAAATCAGATCTTCACAGGTTATACTTACCCATGCGGTATTTTATTTGAAACCAAGTTTTTAATCAAATGAGCTGGAGGTATTGCTCACTCAACCTTTATTAGGAATTGACATTAAGCTGTTTCTTACTTTGGACATAAGAGGCATTACGCAAAGTAATGGGAAGGCAAAAAATTATGGTTCAGTGCAAATTATGATGGGAGAAATACCAGTGTAAAATTATTCACATCCCTTGCACCTTCCACAAATACAGGGACCATGGTACAATTGTAAAGCTCCTATGCTTTCTGAAGAATTTGTGGTTGAACATAGTCTACATTCAGAATCAAACTTTTTAAGGTTGAAAATGATGATATACTTAGGGACTTGCCTGGCAATGACTACATAAACACTTTTTGGAACCAAAGTTTGCACCACTGTATCAATATCTAAAAAGGTGGGGGGGGGAATGAAGACCCTGCTCATTTATCTAGGTTTATAAAGAAATTAAACAATTGTAATAGGAAAGACATTCACCTCTCTTTTCACTTCATCGTCTTCTTCCATGATGCTATACACCTTCTCAAGAAGTTTCACTCCCACTCCTTGTACCACATCAGATCTCAGGATTTCAACCATTCTCCTGATCTTGTCAGGAACTGGTAACATATCTATAACAAAAAAATATAGCTCAATACAGTAATAATTACTTCCAGTATAGTCAATTTTCACACTCCATACAGAATAATAATATGGGACAACATTGTAAGCATTACCACGGAATTCCAGCTGACCATTTGCGTGAAATAACTGGTTATCTGAACTGGCTAGCTAGCTAAAATGATCAACAAGCCTGGTGAATCAGAAGCGCTCAGATGCTAACTCTTAAGATAGTGGACAGTGCAATGTCAATGCAGACACAGTTTGCACAATTAGGTCCTGTACCTTCATTTCAGGTGGTTCCTGCATACTGTATCACAAATACTGTTGGAATGAAAAGTACTATTCTCTAATACTACACACCACCACCCAAATATTTTAATAATCCAATCACTTGTACTTACAGCAAATGTAAAAAAAAAAAAAAAATTAATCACTGTAAAACACTGTCATCATTTCTGCCATCTGCCTGTTTGTCTCAACAGCCTTTGAATCTTTTGCTCCTCAACTGAAGCTGCCAATAAGAGACCATCATTTTATGAGGGGAGGCCTCCATTAGGAGCTGAACTGAGAACACCACCTTGCTCTTTTAATCACTGAAATCACCAACACTCCTTTCATAGGATGGATCACCTTCCCAAAATAAAATACCTGATCTAATTAAAATAAGTTTCAGCTTAGAAATGCAGTAGCCCTGTCATCCCAAATGGTAGTAAGTAAACAACTGGAACATCTCACTATACAATACTTAAGAGTGAGAAAAACGGACTGAAAAAAATACCACTGAAATTTGGACCTTCAACGTTCTGCCATACCTGTTTAGAGACAAACTCTTTCAATGTCTTTTACTTCAGCTATGCGGAATCCACTTACCAGAGTAAAATCCAGTGTTGTCCCACTGCTTTGCCTATCACCAGACCAGCTACAAGTAGAACCTTTATCATTTAAAACAACAGGCACAAGAAAGTCTGAGACTTTGAAAACCTACCCTCAGCTTTTTGACTTGTTCTTGTTGCATAGTAAGTGAAGTCATTGCAAATACAAATTTTTTCCTTGCTTTTTGGAATACATATACATGCTTAAGGTCTAAACCAGACCTTAAATATAGGAAGTGATTAGATTCTTGCACCTGTATCTGTAGGAAAAATAAACTTGCCCAAATTCTGCAGTGAGGATGAACTACTATACTCATACAAACTTCCACTGTGTTTAATGCTTTATGTACAGCTTCAGCTTTATCCAAAATTCACAAAGCTTTGCAGCTATCAAATCGTTTATATGCCTTAAAAATCTTGTTTCAAAATACCCAATGCCAGCTGTTCATTTTGGAAGCTTTTAAGTGTAAGTCACGTGGGGGAAAATGGCATTGCAGAGCAGCTCTCTCCATTAATAATTGCAGAGATCGATCACACATTCCTTTCACTGGCAAGTAAGCTGTAACTAGAGCAGTTTTGCACACAAATTTACGAAGATGTCTATTTCTGTAAGCAATGTTGAGACTTGAGGAGAAATAAGAGTGGATTGTCTTCTGTTGCCCACTAGGTTTTCTTTGATTATTATCAGTTGACAACCATTCATTTAAAGCACAGAGCAACAGACCTGAAGAAATCTCTTCAAATTTTAATTCCTCTGATTCATCAGGTGATTTTCCATGCAAAATCAAAGTGTCTTTATATTTTCTATGAAGTTTAAACTCTGGAGCTGGAGTAGAGGTTACAGAGTATTCAGAGTTCTCCTTGGAGTCCATTTTCAGCGTCCACGTCATTAGCTGCACCAAATCATTCATTTCCTTCATATTGCTTTTTCTAGTAGAGGAGAAATAAGATGCAATTCAGTCACCATTCTTGATGCAATTTCCACCTTGCGTTCAGAGGACTTTCAGTAAGTTTAGTGAGGCCCTGCTAAGTATTTCACGTTAAATTACTTCTTGCAGTGCAGTTTTATCAACAGCAACATTAGCAGTGTTTCACTAAAAAAGGCTCAGAGACCATTCACCTAGCAACAACTCTCAATCCTATTGGCTACTGTTACCTGTGTAGCTGCACCTGTGGTAATGCAACAAATCTTATTTTTTGAGAAGCTGCTTACACTGGCAAAATCAGAAATAAATTCATCCTCATTCACAGTGGAAAGGAAGCATATTGGCACCTTTGAACTCATGCTTTTAATGCATCCTGATAGTGTATGTCCTTTGGTGCTGGAAAACTGGTTTGCTGGAAGCTACAGTTGACAAAAAACAGAGGTACACAGTTACATGTCCCAGGAAGTTCAGCATGGGAACTTTACAGCCACAGAAGGGCAACAGTTAAATGGAGTTTGTTTTCTTTATGCATCGCACGCTTCTTCAATCACTCACTACGTAGAGATAAAGTATGAAAGCAATTCCTGCCATTTTTTTCTGCTCCAAGTCAAGGTCCAATATAGCAGTGAAAACTCTTGCACAACATTAAACAAAATACTTACTTCTCCTTGGAATCGCCATCAGACTTGTCTGTAGAGCTTGTGGAAGAGCTCAACTCATCATCAGACAGGCAACGGCTTACTCTCTAAGCAAAGAGGGAATAAATGACAAAAATTCTAATAGTCAAAAGTAATTTATCAATCTGGCATGAATTACTTTTCTTACACAGAAAAAACCTCTTTCAACAAGCGTATTTTTACAGACTCAGCTTGATAATTTTTAAAAGGTGTAACCTTTGATTTTAAATACAAGCTAATACAGAGAGCACACTTTATGAAATGCTTATTTGACCAGCATTACATCTCACTTGTGCAGTTTTACCCACTATAAATGCTTCACCAAGTGCCTCTATGAAAAACAACTCAATCATGTACGTATAACATAGTTGGCTAAGAACTGACAAAGTCAGTACCCTTAGTCCATCTATTGGTCTTTAATACATGTTTTAAAATAATAAATTTATTTTTATCAGTTCAGTAAATTCCCAGTGTTCCCTAAAATACATGGAGACTTTAACCACTTGTGGCTCTACAGTCTGGTGTTCAGTGCATAGCATAATATGCAAAAACATCACTAGCATATGCACATATAACTAGTGTGTACTAACCTTATGTAACCTTGGTTTGTGCATGCAGATGAAGCTTTTGCATTTGCATACCAGTTATGAGCATACACATGTAGGTAAAACATACAAAACACCTTCCACGCGAGTGCTGGGCTGAAGAAAACAGAGCCTACACTTTGAAAATTCAGACTAAAATTTTTTCAGTTACTCTTCTGCATATATTGGTATTAATAATGTTCCCTTGATGTTTGCAGAAGATTTTGTCTAATGTATGTTTAAGATCTTAAAAAAGACTTTCTAATTTGACAAGAGAATGTTAACAGAAACTATTCAATATTTATCTAGAAACTATTCCTTGCTGTCAGCACATAAATGTATGTACTTAACATGACTGCAGATTTAAAAAAAAAAAAAAATAGTTCAAACACCACTACCAAAGCAAAATTAGATGTACCAGGCTAAAGGTAGTGTGTTGTTAATACAAATTTAAAGCAAACTATTCATCTGTAACTAAAGCATAGTTCAGGATAAACTTTTTCTCTTCCAAAATAAAATAAACCCTGCAGTTTAGAGAGCCTATAGAAATCAGTAAGAGATCCCTAGTCTTCATCTCTGACAAGTGGAGTGAAAATGCACAGTGAGCCTGGAATTTTAAATTGATCTAGTCAAACAAAAAGTGGGTCAAACATCTGTAATCTACCCCAGGACTTATAAAGCGATATATAGAGACCTGTGCACTCTTACTGACTGCGAGTTTCTTCCACACATAGAGATTTTTTTAAATATAGTTTTCTTCCCAAACTGTGCCTGCATTTAAATATTCCAAAAGCAGATGACCCCAGTTTACCTGAGAAATACTGGGATCTGATGAGGACTGTGTAACTTTAACATGATTTTCCATATGTGATTTTGCTTCAATTACTGCACTATTTGGCGTTCGTCTTGCTGGAATCACTGGAGGGATGACATTTTTACAATATTTACAACTTACTTGCAGGTATTTTGAATTAGTTTCATGCTCATGCAAGAAAAAGTCTATCACCTGGCAGAAGACAGGCAGGTGGGTATTCTGCTAAGAGAAAACACTGAAGCTTCTATGTGAAAGGTGTATATTCTGCACTTCATGTACATTTCAAAGACAAGTTGTCACCACTAAACACAACTGAACATCACTGAATAAGAAGCAGAAAAATACAGACATGTTAACAGAAATTGTTATTTAACACAGAACTAGACCCTTAGTGCATCTTTCTGAAAATGTTAGCTAAGAACAGACAGCAAGTTATAATTTCTTCAGAATTGTGAACATGCAAACATGTTAACATGCAAATATAAAAATTACCAGAGGGAAACATCTCCTCCCGAGACTGTTTCAGCCTCCTTCGTTCTCTTGCTGACAAGGGCCGCTCCTTCAAAAGAAGTTAATTTGATATTAATTAGCAATTGTCACAGTGTTTTTTGTTATCTAATCACCTATAAAGCAAAAAAACATTTTCAACTGACATGGAAGAGAGAGTTATTAGAGTAGACCTTCTGACCATCTAACAAATGCTTAATTATCCACTACATAATGGTCTTGGTCAATGAGACTAATATATACTTTAGAAAAGGAGCTTCTGACCTCCCTGGTTCGGCAAGGCAACTTCTCATCCCACACTGACCAGATGCTTGACAGAATCTCCATTAGGTAGGAAGCCACTATACATTTCTTCACTCGCTGTGCATACAGTCAGAGAACAAACTGCTCAGAAGGAAGAGAGACAAAAATAAGCTGACACAGTACTCAGCACTAACCTTTGAAATGGCAACTTGACTGGTTTTGGTGCTATTTACAGATTCAGAGACTTCAGCAGCATGGTGCTCTGCACGCCTCTGTGTTGTCTTTGTGTTCACATGTGAAGGAAAAGGTAAAGGCCGAGGAGCAGCTGCTCTGAACTGGAAAGAGAAGGGAGCAAGAATTTAAACCTTTTTTTTATTAGAAGTTAAAGTACTCTGCAATCTAGAAGGCATTCTTGCATGGTAAGGCTGGATGCCAGAGGTTTTGGATTCTACTGTAACCTCCTCACATCTCCCAACTTCATCTCTCCCTCTCCACGCCTCTGCTTGCTTTCGCTTCCCTTCTCCCCATCTCTACACCTTGTCCCCCTCCCCCCAGACTACTTTTCAGCCAATGCTTTTGCAACAGCTGTCCCCACCCTCAAAGAGCAAAATCCAAGAGAAAAATAGGGTATCATACTGAAAACCAATCACCCTCCTCTCGATCCTTGTATAGCCAGTGCCTTTCCCCAAAGAAATCTCTCTGCTCAGTGTGGAAGCATTGATAGGAGCCCTATCTTATGTGCATGTGTAAAGGCCAAGATTTTCTTCTTAGAGTTTGCACTCTCATGAGCTCAGGACAGCCACTACACATGTCTGTTCTAAAATACTAGTAACCTACTACCTGCTACAAGTAGCCTTCTCCACAACAGTCAGGAAAAGTACTGATATGTTTTGTAGTCATAAACAGTGAAAAGTCCTGATGGAAATTGCTAGGAAAGACTGTAGCACAGCAAAGGCAAAGCCTTTCACTGTGTTTCCTTGTGCCCATCTGGCACACGCACCTCACACTTGTGAGGGTTATTGAGATTTTCAAAGGTTTACACAGACTACTTCTAAAGGACATCTTGAGTGTTCTGCATTTTGTTACCAATGAAGTTACACAGATACACATGAAACAAGAACAGCATTAAGAACCCCACTGTTTTTTAAAATAAAAAGCTCCAATTCTTAAAGAGTAAAAAATGAAGAAGTCTGAAATGAAAGAGAATTATTTTTTTAGTATCTGCACCTTCTCTGAACAGACTTCAGCCAGCTCTCTTTTCTTCTGCCGTCGCTGCCGTGAGAGAGAGGGTTCACTGACAGAACTACGAGGCTGCAAGTGGGAGGTAATTTTTTCCTGAACATCTCCTGAAGCTCCATGACAGACATCATCCTAATAAGTAGAAGTATTTTTTAAAAATGTAGGCATGCCATTTCCATATTTACAAATACATGCTTTTTTAAAAAAATCAACACAGACCACTTTACTATTTGGACTGCATCCACCTTAACATATCACAGTTATAACCACAATAAACTCTTGATCAACAGTTAGAAAAAATACCTGCTGTACCAGCAGTTTTAAGCTACTAAACCTTCAAAGAAGGACACTTACTTGAATTAAAACAGGAACAAATGGTGCTAGCAGTTTTTCAGTGGAATCCAAGCTCTACAATAGATAATGGTTTCTCATTAGAACAGTGTGTACCAAAATCTCATTGTAGACTGAAATGCAATGAAAAGACAATCACTACCTATTACCTCCCCATCCAAATCAGAACCAACTTGAGATTAACCAGGCCTATTTAGAACATAGAACAAAGAAGTTACAAAACTATTCTCTCTTCTCAGCTGGAAAAGAAAATTGTTTTTCCCTGTAAAAACGGAATTTCTATCATCTAGGTGCAAGCCTAAAATTACTTCACCATGTTGCCTTTGCAAATCTGAAGCCAAGGCTCCTTACTACTGAAGCATCTCAATAACTGCATCACTAACATCCTACTTTGACAGAAAAACATGTGCAGCAGCTCTCTAAATTTTAAGAGCTGGCCATTAGTTAAATCTATTCCAAAGTCTATTTCAAGTAAGCATAAATGCATTACCAGGTCAGTTTGCTTTTGATCTATTGATACAGGCTGCAGGAGTTTCAAAGTGTCACTATCTTCTTCTACAGCATTAACAGAAGACTGCTTATACTCAATGTCTTCAGCTTTAAAAGCTTGCTTTGCTCTTTGCTGTAGTCCATCTTCATTAATTGGTGGGCCACTGGATGCTATTTTAGAATTCCCTGGAACATTTAAATACTTTGCTTTATTACTCTCTGGAATATGCTCACTGCTGCAATTCTCACTTCCATACTTCATCATTTCAGATGGTAAAATATCAATTTTCACTTCACTAACTGTAGCTAAGGAGTCTGCCAGGTTGTTCAAATCATTACTGCTTGGTTTTCTTTCTAACTCAACAGCTGGTTTCTCTGAGGGACAAAATTTGGGGGCTTTATATTTGATAATGCAGTCTTCTTCATTCTAGATTTAAAAGGAAAACAAAAAAATTAATTACCTTTTGGTTATTATACACATACGAACAAATACTCTAAGCACTGAAGGAAAATCATTAACATACCAGAGTACATAAACTGCAATGAAATTATGATCAATTACAGATTAAGAGCCTGAAAAAAGCCACAACCCTCATTTTTAGAGAGATACAGGCTGCATTTGCAAATGACATATTGCAGGCATGGGTTTATACACATGCAGTAACACCTACTTTTCACCAGGACCATGAAAGAAAAGTTGTACTCCCTTGGCTCTTCCATAAAGGAGGAGCCAACAAGTACCAACAGTTTTAAAGATGTACTACACCATATACATTCAGTATTTCAGCTCTGAAAGCTTAAACCCACAATAGCAGGACTCATTACAGAAAATAAAAAACACACACAAGATTAACCATTACAAAAGAATTCCAACAATAAACAATTTTCAGTTTTAACTATAATTAGTTTTTTTCCAGTTAAAAACATGTATTTAAAAACAACTATCACTTCTCATCAAGTATTTGAAAAAATATTTGACCTCAAATACGCCATGAGTAATTCACAGTGACCCACAAATGAAAAACCAGATGTTGTTTAGTTAACATCTTATAGTTAAGACATTGCAATTAGTTTTGCTGATCCACAGCTGTTTTATTTACTTCCACTCATGCCTAAACAGAATTCCTTCCTCGATATGAATTTTACACCTTGCTAGGAATCAGATCTGTATTCTCACAAATGTTCAAGGCACTTCTTAGAAAACTGAGTTTTTTCTCTAGAAGGAGCAAGTGGGTTTTGTTTTGTTTTGAAAAAGAAAAGATATGTATCTCACAACTTTGTATTTCCTGGCTTGCTCAAAGGAGTGGTTTTGGTGTGTAACATTCCTGCTATGAGATTCATTCTTTACTGAGACCACAGAACAAGGATCTTTAGGTTTAGAATTCACTGTTTTCTTATGACTTTTGGCTGCTTTCCTGTAAAGAAAATAAGAGTTGCTCATTCAGTCAGCGTCAACAAGACCTTAAGATATTTCTTTAGATTGTAATAATTACAAAACTCCACTCCACTAAACAGCTTACATACAGAAATTATAAGATACTGGGCTTTTTCAACAGATTGTGCACAACATACTCATTTTCATCTCAATAAAAGAAGCTTAAAACACCATTTGGACTCTGACAGCAGTGTACACTTGTTCTGCATAGCACCTAGATCAGTCCTATCTGGAAGCAGTAAAATAATTGACTAAACCAGACAAAGAAAAGTAGTAATATCAGTGAATATCAAAAGGAACTTGGTGTTACAACTCTGAGGTGATAAATGGCCTCAAAGAACCATTTGGAAAGATGTGTATTTCCTATCACTGCCTTGAAAATACTGGTGCTACTTTTTTTTTTTTAATTTTGAATAATCTGTGCAACCTTAACCTTTGCACAGTTTTATTCTGCATTTGCAGAAAAAGCTAGTTTCCATTCTAATTCTCTCCTATTTCTCAAAGAATCTAAAGAAACTCATATGCTCCTATGCTTTGTAACTGCACATAACAGAACTAATTTTATCCTGCTACAAAGTGTACGTAAAGTTGTAAAACAAAGACTACAGTAACATGAATATTTTTGCACAGAAGCACTCAAATGAAAATATCTTACGCCTTCGTGGCTTCCAAAAACAAAGAAATTTGGTGCTTGATATATGGCTGACGTAGTATGCTTTTCACACTTGGTCTGTCTTCAGGTTTTTTACTGAGCATAGTTCGTATTATTTCTACCAACTGTGGGCTGTAATCCTTTGGCATGGGTGGCAACTGTGAAAGGAAAGGGAAATCTAGTATTATTTAATGTATTTGTCAATAGGGGTTACTGCTAGATTATTTATGCATGACAGTTCTATTCAGCTACATAATTTGCTACAATAAAAGATAGTCCCATTGCTCGCGTGCTGAAAGCTACCTAAGTGTTGTTCTTTCTACATTCTGTTTGATGTTAAAGTGTTTTTTCTAAGAACTGTTCGTAATTTTTTTATTAATATCAGCAGTTAAAGTTCTGTGAATAGGCTTAAAAATTTATATAAAATAAATCCATGTTAACTTCACTATATGCCAAAGCAAGATATATTTTAAAAAAAGCAGACATCATATACCGCCATGAAATACCAGTCTTGCAACACATATGATGATGCACGTAACACAAAAAATATTTTTAACTCCATACAGTATTTCTGATTGGAAAAGATAAATCTCAAGTTCTAGATGGAAAATCCAAGCACGGATAAAAAAATTTTAGAAGTTTTTTACCTTTCCTTCAATAATTCGATAAACCAAAGAGTTCATGTCTTTAGCATTAAAGGCATGTTTCAGTGTAGCCATTTCGTAAACGCAGCAGCCTAATGCCCAAACATCAGACTGAAAAAAAGAGAGAAAAAAAAAAGTTTTGGGAACTTCTTATAAATTGCAGAAGTTTTGTCTCCAGACTTAGTTACCTGCTTTCAAAGAGGCTTTTAATGACAGTAAACCAATTAAAACTAAACTCCATTGCAAACTTTTGGCTTCAGTCTCACTCTTTAATTTTGATCAGCCGAATTATTTTCTTCCAAATATCATCAGATTTTTCTGAAAAGAAGTGTACAAAGCTGCTGTTCGTAGAGTTTTTTGGTTTGTTTTCTTTTTAAGTTGGTTCTAACTGGCAAATGAAAATCTTTGGATCATTATGGTGCCTGTGGTTTGCAGCAAGAGCTGAACAGGTATACAAGAGCACGTTTGCTTTATTTTGTTGTATTTTAAATTCACAGCAGCATTGCTTATCTTTCTACATCTCTTTTTTTTTTTAAATGCTGCTGTTATGTCTAATGCACACTTTTGAGTATAAAGCTTCCTGTCTGTTATATAATAAATTTAGAAAATGCAGCTATCTAACACAGACTGATATTTTTGTTTACATTGGCATGCTGTGAAAGGC